AAAAATGATACACATTATTTTGTTATGACAGCTAAAAAACAATCATTACTTGATAAAGGTGTTATATATCAAGATTATCCTGATGCAGCAAGATTATTAGCAAGAGATAATGTTAATTTTATACAATTATGTAAATTTGCTTGTGAAGCTGCACAATTTGCAACAAAATGTTCATCACAATTTGCATTTGAATTTGCCGTAAGATAGTTTTTAATATAACTAATATATATATATATAACGAGAAGAGGATGATGTCTAAACGAATAATTAATTTTTAAATTTCAACTTTTTATTATTGAGTATATATTAAATTCGAATATGATCAAATTCTTTTTTTTTTATTTTTATAAGTTCTCTGCCTTATTTCCTTAATTAAAGGATCGTAGTTTTCTTTTTTTTTTTTTATTTGATTCTGTTAACAATGTCCGACTGTGATTAATTCTTTTCTTACACATTACTATTGATTCTTGATGTGTACGTAACATTACGCTACTTGGTTGATAACTCGAGTCATTACTAAGCAACCATTTCGTTTTAGTTTATATCTATGTGAAAGTATAATTTTCATATTGTGTATATATGATAATGTTTTATCAAGTTTAGATATGATTGAAGAGATATCAGAGAAGTTTAAGAAAGATTGAATTATATTAATTTTATTCTTTCTGAATACTTAGTTTATGTTTCTTTTTTTGGTTTATGTCACGACGCTCAGCATTCATTTCCTGTCGATTTATAGCATAAACACGTTCCTTTTGATGATTAATTAATTTTTCTAATAACAAGTAGTTTTCGTCCGTGAATGAAATTCTACGATGATCTATTTTAGTATTTTTTTTTATATCGTTAATATGCAAATAAGATTTGTCATGTTTTCATCATTGAACTTTGATTGAATCATAATACGATAAGCACGTAAATGAATATTGTTCTTAACTATACAACTCATATTTATTGTATAAACATTAGACGGCCTAGTCAATTGTCTCGTACATTGACAGCCATTGTAAACTAATCGATGTCTTACTTTTATGTATAAAATTTCTTGTTTGCACAAGTTTAAATTTACTAATAGATTTTGTTTCGAAACAATTATACTTATTTCTTCATATCACACATTTGCCATGATTGAATTGTACGTTTACTGTTCATGTTTGGTAAATGTTGATTAATGTACAAGGACGACATGACACGGTCAAAAGCATTTTCCCAATTTATGCAGATTTCATTTCTTTTTATTAACTAAAAGCACTTATAGCACTATGACATGCTATTATATAGTTCGTTTATGTTTCTAAGATGTAGCATTAGAATGAATAGAAAAAGACAATGGGGAATGTATTGTGATTCGCTTACAATCAATCATTGATTAAAGCCTTCAACATGACTCTTTAATCAACGAAATAAGACAAAGAATTGAATGCATATAGAAAAAAACAACAGATCGTGTTCAAACCATAAAATAATGGTTGAATACAATAGTCTCTATACTGAAAACAAAAGCTGCCTACGTACGATATGAATCTTCTTATTGAAAAGTTTAGAGCTTTTCACATGATATCCTGTGATTTATTTTGTTTTTTTATTTTTTAATAAAATATACTCAATAATAAAAAAGATGCTATTCAAAAAGTGATCATTTATTTAGATGTGAAGTATGATGTTTTGCAATAATGATTCTCTTTTGTGAGGAAATATGATAATCCTGATATTGTAAACTGTCATCAAAATCATATTAAGATCTACTAATTCTAATCATACATTTTTCAAATAATTTCTCTTTTCCATTGTCAAGGCTTTGAACAACGAACCGATGCATAAGAATTCATTTAAAATGATACATATTGAAAAGAATTGGGTGTTGAATTGATATGTGAATAATCGTTTACAAATGTCCATGTTGGATGAAATTGTATAAAATTTTTGTATTTACGAAGAAATCTATTTAGCTTTACAGACAGAAATATCTCTATGATGGACTGTAAGCATTTGTTTCCATTTTGTTCAAAATAGAAAACTTTTGTCAATGTAGACAGTCGTTCAATTCTGTAAGATCTTTTTCGAAATTGTCTTGATATTGAGAATTAAAACTCCAGAATACAAAATTGTGGAATAAAAATTGCACACGATAAATTCGAATCTTCAAGTCGACAGTCAGAATTTCTCTTCTGATTTTTTTTTGTTTTTCAAGGTTAATAGTCTTCATAATTTTTCTTTTTTAATTCATGATAGACATTTACTTCATACAAAAATACTTTAGTCACGATAACAATGACTTTACAACAAACAATCGCCAACTTCTCAAAAGTAGACGCTCTGAAATGGCTCCATCAGATGCAGTGGTGGATTTAGAGGACAGCACTAAAACGCGAATGCTCCGATTCCAAAAATTTTCTCAATTTTTGAACGAAAAAAAAAGGCTTTAAAATGAGCTTACACTGTCTCTAATGAGTTTCAAAGCGTGATATATGATCACAATTACTCTTCAGAATAAAAATCCTAGATCTGTCACTTGACGGATATCCACTGTAGAGAAGTTATATTATATAGAAATTATTAGTACAAGATTTCTCAAATAAATTTCTTCTCTATCATGTCAAAATACAGTTCTTTTAATTTTCTATATAATAGGAAGATCATCATGGTGCAGCCGATGTACAAATGTTTGATTTTACATCACTCTTTCATGCTGTTAATGCTTCACGTATTATTGAACGTAATGATAAACAAATCTTAATGGCACTTGTTGGTGATAGTTTACTTGAGGTAAATAGATTCGAATAAATCTAATTGTTTTTTTTTTAATACATCAGCATATTTATAGAGTTTTTGGCCGACTGGTTCTGGTATTGGTCTTGGATTTTTTGGTTTATTTGATACAGCATGGTCAATATTAAAATTTGCTAAACATGAACATCCACTTAAAATTCTTGTTGAACGTGAAAGTATTTATATGTTATTATCACAAAGTACACCAGAAAATACAAAAAATAATCATCAATTATATTCAATAAATCCAGCGACACGATATCAAAATTTAAATTCAAAAAGTTGTACTATTGATGAAATTCGTCATTTATATGATTCAGATAGTATACCAACAATTGATATAAATAATAATCATATAACATCGAATAAAATTAATCAAACATCTGTTCGACGTGCTCAAAGTTTTAGACAAGCTCCATCACCAGTATCATCATCATCATCATCATCGAATGGTAAATGAAAATAAAAATAAAAAATGATTTTAAATTTGTTTGTTTTTTTTTTTTTTTATTTCTTTATAAAGGAAATAATCAACAAGAAACTTTATTTGAATGGTGTGAAGAAATTCTTGACTCTTATAATATTAAAATTAAAAATGACTCAAAATCCTTTCAAAATTGTCTTGCTTTTTGTGCTATAGTACATTATTATCGACCTGATTTAATGTATGTCAATAAAAACAAAAGTAAAATTCTTTTTATATTAGGTTTTTTTTTATTTATAGTGATTTCAAGTCACTTCAATCTGATCGTCCAATTAGTAATTTTCAAATTGTAAGTTTTACTTATTCGATTGATAAATAAATAAATTATTTCGTTTTGTTTTGTTTTTTAGTTATTCGATATAATGCATAATCAACTATCATTACCACTCGATCGTAAATTACAAAATAGTCTTATTTTATCAATGAAAAGTTCAATTGAAGAACGTATACGACAATCATCAATTGTTATTCTTCAATTATTATATACACATTTTCATCATGATCATCATGAACAACAATTACAACGACGTCGATCAAGTATACCATCACTTGACATTTCATCACCAATATTACAAAAATCAAAAAAACCAATAGATGATATCAACAATATAAATGCAAATACAACTAACAATAATAATAATTCAACAGTTAAAGTCAGCGCTCTTGTTGCTCATTATTCTAATGGTGATATAACAGCATTGTCATCATCAGCTAATGTAGGTGTTGAGCTTACGGAAAGAAAAAAAAACAATTAGACTACAAAAGGAAATGAGCTAGTGATATGTCAATATGAAAGCATTTATTAAAGCGTTAAATTTGACTTGATGAAAATTAATTAAATTTATGATTAAATTATAAAAAAAAAAAAGATTTACTAGAACATCCATGTTAATTATTCTATTAACAATATATTTATAGTATTCCCGAAAACCATTGCATATGAATATCTTTTGACATAGTTATCAAAGAGTATAAATTATTTTTGTCCAGATCCTATGAATATAATATAATAATGAAAATTTATAGTTGATTTCGAGGCAAATTACGGATATATCATAGGCATAAAGATTAAATTATTTTTAATTCTGTATAACCTGAAAACATATTTGTTAGCAGCAGTTGTAATGACTCACAGACATAGATTTGACAAATGTGCTTGATGTTTTTTTCTAAAGGTCGAGGCGATCAATGGATGACGAGGCGTAAATCTTAACCATTATTTTTCATCACTCAAACATTAATAATCTTCTCTTTATATTTATTCATGGGTTATAATAATTGTTTTGAAGCATGAACTTTTCATCATAAATATAATTTTATTAAAATAAAGGAACTTTTTTTTTTTCCTTTAGAATCATAATTTGATTAATTTACAATGCGAACGTGCACCAACATTTTGTTTCTATTGTAAAGAAAAAGTTTCAATACAAGATTGGTTTGTTGTTGAAAAAAATGTTTTACATGTAAAATGTTTTAAATGTGATACATGTCATTTACAATTACGAAAAACAAATTATCAAGTATTGATTGAACCAAATACAGGAAAAATATCATTTCATTGTCGATATCACAATTTAAATAAACAACAAAAAGTAGATTACAATAAAAAAAAAAAAAAAAAAAAAAGATTTCTTTATTTACATGTTTTCTTTTCGATAGGATGATGATAATAATACTAATAATCCATTAGAACAACGTAAGTATAGTATTATTCTTTTCTTTTTTTTATATTTATTATAATATATATTCATCGATATAATCTTCTCCAATAACCCATAAATAATTGTTTTAAATCATGACGAAAACGTTTACCAAGTACGAAATAAAGAATAAAATTTATTGAATGATTTATAATCATTAATAAACGTGCAAGTGTATAATAAAGAACTGTAAGAGAATCAGTATTGTCAGTTGTTATTGAATTAATATAAATATTTTGAAGTATTGATGATCTTGTTTGTAATTTTATTGACATAATTAAATTCCAAACAACAGCTGGTAATGTTAAAAGTAAAAATGAACATGAAACAAATAATAATAATATTGTTAAACGTGTATGATTTGAATTCGATGTATTTATTGATTTATGACGTATAGATGACATTTCATATTGATGACGTGAACGATTTTTCATGTCATATGATATTGTTGATAATTCAGTTGATGTACTTGATTGTTTAGTACTATAACGTAAACGTCGTTCTTCAGATTGACCTATATATATGTAGAAATAAATAAAAAAAATTGAATAAAAAAAATAAATAGCGCTTTACTCAATTGTGGATGTAACAGAATAACTAATGGTTTTGTTTCTGAAACAGACTGAAAACGTGGAAAATGATGATGATGATGATGATGATGATGTTGTTGTTGTTGTTTTTCATTCATTTCCATAGTTTGATGACTTTTAGAACAATGTCGATGTTTTATATCTTGTTGACTTTGTCTTGATGAATAATTACTAAATCGAAACATACGTTGTCGAAAACGTTGTGCATCAATTAAACGACGTATAATTAATGAATTAAGTGTAATAATTATTACAAATGGTATTAAATTATAAACTGCAAAATCAATATAAACCCATTTTTGTTCATAACGTTTACCTGTTACACCACATCGAACTGTATCATGTCTTGTATAAGGAAAAGATGTTTCATTTTTACATGCTAATACAATATGTATACTTTCATTTATATGTTTAACAAATGTAAATATTGGAGTATCAAGTAAAAAGAAAAATATTGTTAAAATAAGTAATACTATACGTGTATGTGTAATAGTATTAATTTTATGTGCAATTAATGGATATTGTACAGCAATAAAGCGTTCAACAGTAACACCAACAACAAGACCAGCTGATAAATGTGTTGTAAAATTGCCAAAGAAATAAACCAAACGACATGAAAAATCTGATAAAATTTTTATATTAAATCTACTATTTATTTCTGACATCCAATCAGGTAGTGCACTAGTTAATATATATAAACAATCAACTAACGCTAATAATGTTAAATAAAGACTTGCTGGATAACCACTACGACGAGCATTAAAAAACATAATAAAACATGATAATTTATTACCAAATATACCCATTAAAATAAATACTGGATAAATATATAAACGAATATATTGTGCAATTTTTATAGCATTGGAATTCTTTTCAATCTCATCCGGTATTGACATTATTGGTGTTACACGACATGTACTATTATGATCATCATAATCGTTGATAGAAAATGTACAATGAATATAATGACATTGTACACTAGTAGAATGTTGTTCTTGATGAGTGTTAGCCAGTATCCATCGTATGAGTTCTCTTGTTGCATTATGTGAATTACCGTCCATTGTGTGCACTTATTGTTGTCGTATTTTGCTTCCGTCACTGTCTAACTAGATACCACTGTAGTCTGAATAAAGAAAGAAATGACGTGATAGAAAAAAAAATAGAAAAAGACAGACGAGTTTGTTCTTCTTCTCGTCTTCCTTTCCTTTTTTCTTTTTATCCCAAGACTTTTTACTTTCATTTCACTATAAATATACGTCTTTCGGTTCAATAATATGGCAAAAAAACGGGTTTTCCTTCATCAATGGTTAACATTGTTAAATTTTTTATGTATCGTTAGAGATATAAAAAAAAATTAATCTCGAGCAAGGGCATTTAAAATTGGATGTAGACAAACAAAAAGAAAAAAGAAATAAAAAAGAAAATCATAAAAATGTTTGCTATATTTAATAGGTATTGATCATGACAAACGTTCATTATCATTTGATGAAACAAATGTTGCTAAAAAACAACAGATAGTTCCAACTCGTCATTTAGATACTACAACAACTGATGAACGTGTGTCTTTTAGTCTAGAAAAAGAACTTCCTGATGATGATAAAGATGAAATTGTTTATAGTTCGACATCAAATATGATGTGAGTACTTTTCGTGATCATTTAGATTCTTATTTTCTAAAGTATATTCATATTAATTTAAAGAAATGATAATAATAATAATAATGATGACGAGGATGATAATGATAATGATAATGATGATGATGAACAAGTATCAGCAAGAGCGAATGGTAATTCAAGCAATGCTTCATCAGAAGAAACAACTGATGAAGAAGAAGCTGATGATGATATTAATGATGAATCGGACAACGAAGAAGAACGAAACAATGAAGATGATGAGTCAGTGTAAGTTTTGTATTCGTTATTTTTTTTTAATGAGATATTATATTTCAACCACATTGAGGAACAAAAAACGCAATAGAAACTTTTGCTCTTCTTTTTTTTTAATATTTTTCATTGATCAAATCGTCTCTCTCTCTCTCTCTATATATATATATATTTGAACAGAAAAAAAGAAAGAAAACATAGAAAAATATGTTTAATGGTTGATAAAACCTGTTGTTTCCGTATGTTAATTTTCTGTCTAAACAAAAAAGAAAGCTATTTGTGTCAGGGTGCATGAATAAAACAAACATGAACAAACTATTGATTTGATTTTTGTTTTCATATGTTAATTTCTGACGAAAACTAAAAAGCAAGACTCATTGATAAATAAAAAACAAACACAAATTGATTAGAATATTGCGTGATGAAAAAAAAAAACAAGAAAAATTACTCACGCTTTTTTATTTTGTCAGATAATCGATATATGGTTTTAATTCTTGTTCATTATAGGCTTAAATTAGATAAGTCAAAAAATAATTCAATCACAGATATATCCAAACGAATTTATGATAAAAAAACATTTGCTGAACAAAAACAATATATAAGTATTGGTAAATAATATAAAATCAAAATTACCTTTTAATCAAAAAAAAAAAATTTTGTTTGTTTTTGAATATTTTTATTCAATCAGATTCTGGTCATATTCAATCAGAATCTCCATCACCCGTTGATCTTTCACCATCATCAGCGTCACCTATAAATCAACAAGTATTGACGTCAAAAAAATCCGATACGATAACATATGTAAGTTAATATAATTTAAAATACAAAAAAATTCGTGATCTTTTTAAAATGAAATATATTTATGAACCCCTGGGCGGCCCATCACTTATCTGATAGGATGCTGTTATTGTCACATCACGTGAAGTAATTTAATAGGTTATAAGAGTATAGAAATTGTCTTATTCAAGTCAATAAAAGTGCAGGTTAAATTTACTTATCATAGACGTCATCGACTGTATACTCAGTGCATACTGACTTCGTGGGCACACTGACACTATTGTTATAAAAAAAAGGCATCTTTTGATAGAGCTGTTTTGCAGTGAACGTGAATGACAATGTAATAGATGTTCCTAGTGGACTCTGTGTCAATGACGTATTTATTCCATGTTTATGCCAATACATAACATCCGTATTCAAGTTGTCCAATCAAAACTTTCTTTTAGTCATATTTTCGTGCACCTTGTCCTGTTTGTCGTGGTTCAACTTATGATGATGCAACAACCATTGAAATAGGAAAACAATATTATCATAAAACATGTTTACATTGTTATTCATGTGACAAACAATTAAAAGATAATGAATATAATTATCATGATTTAGCATCGGATGGTACATATAATTTTTATTGTACATTACATTTTTGTAAAAGTCGTCTTAAACAAGTAACAACAAGATTAGCAGTAGTAACTCAACAAGGTTTGAAATAAATAATTTTTTCTTTTTGTCTTTATTTGTTTTTTTTTTCATAGAATTTCTTGAGAATAATTGATTAGTTTTTTGTTTCGGAATACTTGGATTATCATTTAATATTCAGATTTAATGAATAAAAAAGTCTTAGAATAAGAATATGACAATATAAAGTAATACTAGATAAGAACTATTTTCAAGAATTTATTTTTATATTAATATCAATGTATTCATTAGACAAATTAATAAGAGGATTTAGCTCACTAAGAAACTAGTATTATGTTATAGTAATTAAAATCTGAAATATCATTTTTTTTTATCAATTATTAGTGTCATCTTAATATCCTAGAAATAGTTCAAATGAATATTATTATTAGTTCTATTAACAATAATGCACAATTACAGAATATATCCTATTGATTATTCACACTTGGACATTATTATTTGATATTTGTTTAATAAAAGTTTCTTTTAAGAATGTCAACTTTGTTATTTTTCTCTTGCAAACTATCATTTCTCAAAGTGATTCATATGAAAAATTATATATATATTTTTTTTTGTAATAATTGAATCAAGGTTATTCAGTTGATGTTGTGCTACATTAGTAACGAACATGACGTAAACAGAATTTCAATAGATAAAGCTTAGTTTCACGTGTAGTTCATTAATGTTTTGCAGATGAAATATGTTTTTCTTGAAAGCAAAGTTTGATAGATTATCTGAGATATTTTGAACATCACATAAGCTTCATATTTTATATGATCGTATTAAATCAGTTTGACATTGTGTTCTTAGTAAGAATCTTTTTCAGTACAAGCACTCAATTATTTTTATATTTTTATGAAATAAGATTAGTATTATTTATGATATTACTTTGTTTATTTTAAGTTTCTTAAGTAAATCTATTCGAATCATATTACAATTCAATATTATCTATTTTCTTTTTAAATATATAGAATCGCAATCAAAAACTATTTATCCAAATTTAAGTAAATTACGTAGTAATACAACTACTCAATGGCATAATAATCTTCGTTTATATCCATCATTAAAAGATGCTCTTAGTCCAAAACCACATCCACTTAATGTTGCCAATATATCTGATAATAAAACAAAACAACAAAATATTGGTTTTGAACATATTCGTCAATCAATTTCAAATCCAACAAATAAAAATTCTTCACCAAAACTTACTCGTAGTAAAACATTTGATGAAACTTTATCTTTACAATTAAGTGATAATGATGAAAATTTGAATATTAATTCCAAGCAAGAAAACAATGATTTAGGTAAACAACGATTTAAACGACGTGGACAAAATCGTCCATCATCACCAATATCAACAAATAATTCACAAATAATAGTAACAAATAATTTAAAATCAAATGAAACAAATTCAATAACAACATCAATAAATCGAAAAAAGAAAAGAATTCTTATACCACAATCAAATTTAAATTTATCATCATCATCATCACAATCATTAGATGATGAACGAAAACGTTCATCGAATGAACGTCGTCGACAACGTGAAGAACGACAAAAAGAACTTGTTCGTTTTCGTCGTTCACAAGAAATTCAACGTGAACTTGAAGAAATTGAACAAAAACGTATTGAACTTGATAAACGTCATACAATAGCACGGCAAAACTTAAGTATAAAACAAAATCTATTTTTGATTTTCTGTTTTTTCTTTGCAATTTTATTTAAATTTTATATATTATTATAGATTTATCAACAAATGATGAAAAGAAAAAAGCTTATTGGGAACGAGAATGTTTATGTATTGTACGAGAAAGAACAGCATTACAACGTTCAGAAGATGAGTTAATAATGACTAAAAGTGGTTTGACATTAGAAAATGAGCGTGCACGTGCAGAAAATGAATATAGACAATTAATTAATTTACCAGGTAATTTATACTTTTAATAATTCAAATTGTCTGCTTTTGTTTTTAACAGACAATTAAATACAGCATCATTAGACAAAATAAGACATACTAGAGAACTTTTGTATCTTTCAGTGATGTTTGATCTTTTGATAGGCTATTGAGGTCACAAATAAAACATTAGAAGATTTTAGATCGACTTTATTATCCTCAAATTCTAGAATTATCTCTCGTTAATTCACGTCAAATGTTTAATGCTCTTAAAGACTTAGGCTTTTAGATCTGTCTTCTTTTTTTAGTTACTATTTTTTGTAGTATAGGCTATAGACATCAATAAAAAGCAGTTTAATAAATTGAGAGAAATGATATGAGTTGACAATCTTGTTCCACGAGCACACAATAACGTATCAATAATTGCGAGATCATTAAGTTCAAAAAACATTTGAAATAATTCCGTATTATATGTTGTGTTAAAATTTTAAGACTTTTTCAAAAATTGTGGATTATAGCACAAACTATTGAATTATATATAGAATAGAACTAAAATGATCTTTTATGATCTAAACATTTTAAAGAATAAATGATTTCGATAATGAAGAAAATATTTTGTTTTATAAAATTGAAAAAATTTGATGTGACAATTTTTAAACATTATTTCTTCTATATAAATATACATATCGAGATGAATAAATTTTATTTGACAATTATTCTTTTGAATAAATTCTCTTTGATAAAAAGATGATGACGTAGATTAAAAAACAATCAGGGAATAATTTATTCTAAATCATAAATTTTTTAAGTGACAGGACATTATTTACTCTATGATGCATATATTATTTTTATTTTTATCATTGTGTGAAACCGACCTCAAAAATTTTTCTTATTTTTACCTTCTGATGTTGAGTTCAATTAGTACTGAAGTGTAAAATGAAACTTCAAATAGCCTACTTTCTTCTATGTTAAATAATTTCTATCAATTTAGATGAACTTAAAACAACGAAAGATAAAGAACGTGAAGAACAACTAATAACAACGATTGCAAAATTAGTAGAAACAAGAAATAATTTAACAATTGAACTTGATCAAATGCGACTAAGGTAAAAAGACAAGCAAACAAATAGAACAATAATTAATTATACATACTTATAAACAGGCAAACAAAATAAAACATTTTTTTGAATTCATATCTATTTGATCATATTATTTCCTTTATTATTCTTATTAATTAAATTCTTTATCTCATAAATCTTTTTTTCAAAGGATTAATATCAGCAATTTATAAAGGTGAGAGTATTTGTTTAACATCTGATCTAGATAGAATATAATCATAACTAGTTCCCAAATTTTTGTTATATTGTTCAAAGTATTCTTCTTTTGTGTCTAGTGGGCATGTTTGTCGTCCTTTTATTTCCGTACGTTCTGTCTTCTATTTTGCTAACACTGTAGTTCAGTTTTCTTTTAATTTTTTGTGTGAACAGATCATTTTTGCTCTTCATCGGCTAATTGTAAACATTAAATTTATTACATTATATTTACTGTGTATTTATTTTTAGGGAACTACAAGAAGACGAATGTCTACGTCATGTTTATCAACTTCATGGAATCGAACATCAAACAACCAGTTCTTCCGCATATGATACTCTTAAAGACATTATTTGATTCAACACTGATTAATCAATGAAAAATGCCTTAGTTTATTGTGTATTAATGATTGCTTTGTTTTTTTTTTCTTTTACTTAATTAATAGTGAGCTTAAACATATATAAAAAAATTTCTAAATCAGTATTTTTCAATATACTTCATTTTTCTTTCGTGTTTGCTACATATTCTATTGTACACTTGTTGTTTGTTGTTGTTTTTTTTATACTGATATATCTTAATAAGCATATTCCCATTTATCATTTGCTTTTCTCTACAAATTTACGTTACAAAAATTTCTTTCTTAATCGAATGCAATTATCCTGTGAAGAAAAAGCAACAAAATTTTTTTTTTTCTGATGTTTGTTATTAGGCTTTGTAATTCATTATGCTTGGTTTGTTTTCTTGAATAAAAATATCCTATGATTTCATATAAAAAAAACTAATTAAAAAAGAAGAATACTTTTCTATAATTTTATCATAATTATCTTACAAGATTACAATAAATTCTATTACTTTTATCTGGACAATTGTTATTTATAGTTTTTAATGAATATATAACAAATAGAAATAATGATTCCAATTTATTTTTTGTATAAATTATGTATATATCTGCATTATCTTTAATATATTTCCTAAATAAGTCATATTTTATTTATGATTATAACTGGCATCTAACAAAATAAATATGAATAAATTTCTATAGAAATTTTTTATGTGTACGGATTAGTAATGTTCTTAATAATAAAGGAGTTTTCTAATATGACATATGTTTTTCTATAGTGAATACATCAATGACGGAAATTATTTTCCATAATAATCGTATTATTAGTATTATTATTAGTAATTTTTTCTAGCTACATAACTAAATAAAATAGAAAAAATGGATTATAATGATTATGTAAAAATAAAAGTTTCTATGAGTTTATTAGTTTATATTTCCACAGAATTTGTTATAACTATAGAAAAAAAAAATGTTTCATCAAATAGTAATAAGTACTTCATCAACAATATAAATGTTAAACGTGTATCGCTTTTACGTAGATAATATCGGTAGCAGAATTTATTAAAAGATTTGATAAAAATTCATGTATATTATTAGTGTTTTCTCTTGCGTCAGGACCAAGAGAAAAAAACTTCCAAAAATATTCTACTCATTACATTAAAAACTATACATTTCATCTCTCTAGGATACAAAGCTACTCGTCCGGAAATGAAATTAATGTGAAAATATAGTAAACGATTCAATCGAGGTGAATTAGGTTTCCATATTTTATACTCTTTCTTTTTCTTATGAAAACTTTAGTGTTTATCAGTAAAAGAATCATTAATTAAATGTTTGATAAATGATCAGCTGCAATCGAGCGAAAAAATATTTCAGGGAAATATTATTACACTATCAAATAAATCTTATTTAATTTTTTAAAATAAATCAATACTGTTATTAGTATAATGTTTCGATTCGAATTTGAGCATCGTTAATGATTAAAAATAAAAATAAAGAGAATGTCAATAGTATCATTAAAGAGAGCTTGATTTTTAGTTAAGAACTTCTTTTCATATACGACAAAAATCTTGAAAAGAATGTCTTAAGTATATATCTATATACATGAGTATTCTTGAAGTTTATTATAATAACGTTGAATTGGATAGTAGCTGGGTCAAAGAACACTTAAAAAGATCAAAGAAACACTTCCATTGGATTATTTAGCGACCTAGTACGATGTCTAGCCTATAAATAATAATAAGAAAAAAAATTTTTAATACTAATTATTATGATAAAATTCACATCATTAAATCTTTTATTTCTTTATGCGATAGTCTTTAAAAATAGACACGTATAAGAATCTTCAAAGTATGATATTATTTGATTGACGATACATTAATTTTTTATATTAATCATACATTTAGGCATGAAATGCATTCATGCGTGCTTTTCTTTCAATACATAAATCATGTTTTTGCTTGGACACTTATTTTGTTTTGTCGATCCTATGTCGCTTATACATATATATTTATATATATATATTGTACGTGAAAATGTTTTACTCATTAACAGCCGTTGAAGTTTTTTTTCTTTACTTAGGTTATCTTACTTCTTGTGTTTATTTGTATTGACATTTCTAATATGCTATGAAAAAAGAACCAAATGAAATCTGATCTTATTACGTGAATAGAACTAGATAATTAAATTATTCGAACGAAATCTCAGATCAGATCTGAATTCTTTAAAAATTTTTTTTTCCTTTTAAATATTTACTTTATGATAAAATTTCCTCTAGCCATTCTGTTTTTTGCATCAATTCCATTCACATAGAAAAAAAAAATCAGTTTATGTACAGAATGATATTCTATTAAGATTATTGATGTTAAAAATCATTTGAGAATAATACATGTCATCCTATTCGTTTTAGTATTTATCTTCGAATTCCTTTTTTCTCAACTGTAATTATATACATTTCGATGCATGTAAGTTTCTACCTTCAATTTTTCTACTGTTGCATCTGTTTTATCATCTATGTCATATAGCAAAACGGTTTGAAAATAAATCCCAACGAGATTAATATCAATGAAGTTTATTATAAACGATCTATTTCTGGTGAATACCATCGCTTGTACAATAGTATATATTATCTATTACAAAATCTTATTCATATTATTGTTCGTTTTGATATTCTTTTGATAACTATTTCATTCATATTATCGCTTGGAAATATATTAAGTAAAGATTCATATATGAGCAAAACTTATCCGATTCCATTGCATTGTATAATTTATTTTCTATTGGGTTTTCTTTTGTCATATATGTGCTTTAAAAAAGTACAAAAATATCATCCATTATATCATCATTTGCTTATTGTTTGTTCAATATTTGTGCTTGCATTTGGTTTTTACTTTTTTCAATTAAATTATAATGAACATAATTTAAATTTATTGATTCGTCTTTGTCTTTCAGCTGGTATTGGTATTTGTTTAGTTTGTGCTTATTCATTACATATTTATTATGAAAATGAACCTCGCTATTGATTAGTTTATATAATATTATGTAAAATTCAAATGTATCTTTTATTATTATATTTTAATAACATCCATCAAATAGTTATAAAATGAAAATAAAAAAATTTTTTCATGAAAATAAAAAAAGTTCACATAATAAAAGTTGAGTTTCAAGATAGAGACGAATAAACTTTTGAAATACTATGCAATGTACCTGTTTTTTTTTGATAGAACATTACAAAAATGAATATAAACTTGTTCGTCATAGGTAATTAAATATGATGTATTAACTCTACACGTTATATATTTATTGCAGTCGACTACAGTATTGTTGATAATACAAAATCAGTACAAGTTGTAATCAATTATTTTGATTTAGTGAACAGTGAATTAACTTTTCAATCGTATCTGTTTGTGAAATTATGATACTAACTACATATGTATTTCAATATCGATTGAAAGTATATCATGTCTAATTGACCGCATGAAAGTCGTTGAAAAACACTGAATCGATTATAAGAATATCTTCCTATGTAATTGTTTCTTGTTGTATTCATCTAAAAGTATAATTTCATAACTGTTGAATATCAAATGATTGGTTATTCTTGTTCATTTATTTTTTCATAAGATAAAATATATAAATAACGATAAAAAAACCGATCATTGTTGTGATATAAAATATTTTACGATTAATACAGTATTGTTCATTTTGATTATAATCATTTCGACTATAAATTGAAATATCTCTATTAACTGTATCATCATCTTCTTCAATATTAATTAAAGTATCTTTATTGATTTTATCATATTTAATATGCATGCATTTATATGCAGATCCGTTAATTCGCAAATTTTGAGCTCTAGTAAACAAATGTTCATTAATTGTTGTGCTTTTGTAATTTGGTTTATCATCTTTCATCATCCATGTTGGATATGTATCACACCATTTTTCTCTTAATTCTTTCATCTCTTCCATATTGATTTGTTCACCAGTTTTAATCGAATCAATAGCACGAGGAAAAAGTTCTGCAAGAAATTTACACTCAGCTGACATGGTACCATCTGGATGTTTGTCAGCTATAACTGAATGTGTATTACTAATATTGCCATATGTTGTATCATCTAGTTTATCAAGAATATGAGTAACAACTAATTCAGGTGTAACTATTGAAAATTTGTTTTCGAAATTGATCTATAAGCTAATGGTGGTATTATTTTATTAACTTGGAGTTCTTTTCCCCAATAAACCCAATATTGATCACCATCAAGATCAGATCCAGCTATTTCATTTGAGTGTGGTCGACGTCCAAGAACAGGAAATACAATACAATCACGAATGAATGGTCGAAGTGCAGGAATGTCAACAGCTTCTAGACAAAGAATATCGCCTGGATAGAGACATGGATTTTTCGTCACTAAAACTTCACCTATATAAAAATAAAGCAATAACATTGAAATCAAAACATTCAGAATTAGTTCGAGTCATTCTCTCTCTTGCACATAATGGATACTAAACATATCAGAAATAGACAAACATTAAAATCGAAAGAAAGTATAATTTGCAAGTTTTATCGTATAGTATACTCTAATAACATATTTTAAAAGTATTAATTTCAGCCATGTTTCTATTCTAATTATTTTTACCTTTCACAACTTTATAGAAATTTTTGTCCATTGTCTGATATTGAATAAAACATTGACCTTCTTTTAATGATTTCGTTTCGTCTGCAATACCAAATAAACATCGACTTTCATCAACAGGCAATGGAATTTTGTTACAACGTAATAAATCTTTTCTATATACATATATTGAAAAATAAAGTTTCATCAAAAGTAAAATCTAATATTCTCACGCATTTAAATAACCACATCGTCTATTGTCATCTTTTATACGATCTATATCTTTTGAATCAAATATATTGAGATACGCTTCTTCAGATGGATGCCATTCGTTTTGTAAACAACATCGATTTTGTAATGATTCAATAACAGCTTTATTCTCTTTATTAAGGTCATATAATAGACGAATAATTTGATTATTTAGACTTAAGCATACTATATTTAATTGTATTATACGAATAGTAGAAAATTAGTCATTTACTTACTTAATCGAGAATGATCAACAATGTCAAGTGTCCAATCATCACTGGCAAATTTCATCATACTTTTTCGAACTTTTATATAATTATCATTCATTGTCGATTGAGGGTCAATAGATAACATTCCTTTACATCCAGCAACACGTACTTGATAGGCTGATGGTATGTCCTTCTATATAAGAAGATCATATAGTTTAAAGTATGTTTAATGATAGAATATACAAACATTTTTGTTAATACGAATTCCAATTGATATGGCTACTTTTTTAGCAAGACCTAATGATATTAGACCGTTACCATCAGTAAAACAGTATCCATGCCGTTCAATATCATCGATAAGATATGCTTTATATGTCGTATGATCAGCAGAAGGTTTAATCCATCTTTGAAAGGCAATGGTAAACGGAGATGATAAAGAAACTTTTGGATATCCCCAATAGTTTTTGCCAACAAATGTTAATTTAATCTTTGTAGATAAATAATTCTACAGTGATATTTCAAACTTATTTCATGCTTACATCTGTTGGTTTTGATGTTGTTAGATAAAGACCGACTCGTGCAATATATGTCGCAATATTTTGAATTTTCTTTAAATCCCCTAATGCTATTCGGGCTTTGTTAACTGTAGATGCACCATCAGCTGAGTTGACTTTAGTAGATGCCAAAAACCAAAATTCTTGTTCTTTCATTTGACTTCCTGATGAGCCAAAGTAATAATACATCAATTCTTTGTAGACAAATGATTCCAAACACAGACCATTTAATAGAACTTTCCCATATCGACTTCTAAGTTCATCACTTTCTTTCATATTAATCATTTTACTAAAACTATCTTCATCTCTAATATAAACAAGCATCCATTCATATCCTTTTTTCTTATCATATTGTCGCATTGCTCGATGACCAGTGGTTAAATGAATTGGTTGAAATAAAATCCGTAATGGAGTAACAATAGCATGTGGAACTTGATATTTATTTTTGGATAACGTACAATTAAATATATTTTGATCATCAAATATGTTTCTAAGCAAATAACAATGATCTTGTTGTAAGTTTTTCCATAAAACATGGCATAATTCATAAAATTTATCCGATGATTTTTCATGACATAAAATAAATCTTGATTGTATATTATGATCAATAAGATATTTATCTTTAAATAAATAACCAAGTGATTCGAGCATTTTCATGCCATAAGAACCTAATATAGATGAAAAATTTTTATCATACAAAGATAAACATGACGTTTTATCGTTAGATGACAAAGAAAATTGAAAATCAACATAATTTTGTACGAATTTTTTTGTAACACTGAAAGTAAGAAGTTGTTGAAGAAAATTCTGTGCATCGGAAAGACTGCCAAATTGTAACCATAAATCCGAACACTGACAAATGACAGCAAGATCTATGTTATGTTCTGATAAATTGCAAATTCTAAATAGATTAATATTAAAATAAGTCAAATTTCAAGACACAAGTGTATATAACTAATTTGTAGAGTAGCAATCCGCAAGAAAATCTCTCATTTACTCGCATCAGCGCTTAAGCATGGGCCTATCGCATGCTTCTTTCGTTTTTACTTTGTGAACGCGTTTCATCGAGGTTAATTCATGTGTTCAATGTTTCTTCAAGGAATACCTAGACCATGGTATTCTGAAGAGCGCGAAGCGGCACGCGATTGTCATGCAGATCGTTGTTATAGAGTTATTATTGAATTATTTTACCTGATGAAATCACCATTAGGATGCTGCTGTTCGATCTGTGGTAATCCTTTGAGCATCAATATAATTTGGATCGGTTCATTATTTTTTTCTTGTCCATATTTAACAAGAATATTGGTATGAAGTATGTTTAAATCAAATATTATTCGATATTGAGTATATTGTATTTCCAAAATAATGCTTCTCACTCTTCCACGTGTATCTTTATTTATTTTGATGCGAGCTGGATGTCGATTATTAAGAATATGACCAAAAAATTTATCATAGGAAATCATTGAACCTAAATTATAAAGTACTTTCCATGATTTTTGTATCGGATTTTTTGAATAAATGAATTTATTATTTTCTGATGATTGATCAGTTAATTTTGTTTGATATGTAAACCAAATTGATCGATGTTCACTTGTTACAAAATCTAATAAATGCGATCCAATAAAATCCGCTTCTTCTCGGGTACATTCTAATTCACAATTGTTATTCATTGCTCCTTGTATTTCTATCACATCAAAAGTAGTTGTTTTGAATGTTTTATTGAGATTTCGAGCAAGAATCTTTGGCCCATTTGGATGAACCTATAAGTTTTTAAAACAACATAGCACCTTTTCGGTCGACATTGTTGGTAATTTTACAGCAAATTTTGATAAAATTTATTATATAAATTTTTCTTTTACTTTATATGCTCATTTTTTCGCACTAAAATAAGCAAGTGCGTAAAGAGAAGAGTGTTTCTGTTGTTTTTTCGCTTTTCTTTCTTTCTTCTAAACAAGTAAAAGGAAGAAGACAAAATTACTTTGATAGACGTCATAAATTTTAACAATCTTGCCACAAAAATGGCACGTCGACAAATCTGATTACCAATGAAACAGTAACACGTGCAATGGCATCAAAGAAATATATGATTGTTATTGTTTATTTTTATTTTTAAATGTTTACAAAATACAAAAATGTTCGCATAATGTTATAAAATTCAATAAATAAAGTTCAGACAATGATCTTATAATTAACTTTTGAAACGACAAGATGATGATGATAAACTCGTTGTTGTTGGTTTATTATCAAAAGTTTGTATAAATTTCCTTAATGAAGAAAATTAAAAAAAATAATAATAAATTGATGTTCTACATTTTTACACTCAACAAAACTCTTTGTTTTATCATTATCAAAAATTGAATTATCTATGATCTTTAAGAAATTTTTTATTTCTGTATATGTTAACAAATACATACTTGCAATCAAATTGAGCTATTTCTTTTAAAATTTTATCAATATCTGCATCAGAAAATTGAGCATTGAGTGTCTATAATTATAGAATGAATCAATAGTATTCAAATAAATATATGATAAATTATCAATAATTTACCTCTTGAATTGCTTGTTTCAATTGAGAATGATCTGTTATTCGATCATCCGACATTTGATCATCACTAGCAGCAATAGAGTAAAAAAAATTTGCGAGATCAAGTTCAGGACGACGTTGAAAAAGTGTATGTAATCGTTCCATTGGTGATGGTTGAGAGCGATGACTACTTTTTAACAATGGTGGTAGTGTTCTCAAACCAGCTAAAACACGAATTTCAGGACGTTGAGTTTTTACTTGTAAGTAAAGCTCTTGACAATCATTATTTAATAGAATTTCCTATGAATACAAATCATAAGAGAAGTTTTCTATTGAAATATTCTATACTGTTAAATCAATAAGTTCAAGTTTATTGGGTGTTGTATCTTTTCCTATAAGTGGTTTAAGTATAGCATAACATCCGGCTGATTCAAGTGGATTTCCTGTTAACTAATTGATAACATAAATAAATATTTATATTAGTTTTGATGATATAATATAATTTGTTCTTACACGTATGATTTGTAAACTTTCACTTTTAGCAAGACCACGACCAATGTATGTAGCTGGTTCAGTTGTTAAACGATTGTGACTAATTAATATATAATTAATATCGAATATGTTATCATAAAAGTTAATAATTATATTACCTGATATCAAGTTCAACAAGTGAAGTATTCTCTTTGAAAGCATTGAACCAAGCACGACCACATTCAGCTCCTGATAAACCATTATGAGCCAAATTTAATTTTTTAAGAAAAACATTTTCCTATTTAATTAAATTAACATATTATGTGTTAATTAATTATGTAGATAGAAAAATATTGAAGATTTTATTAGTCAATTGTTTTGTCAAAGACAATTTTTCTGTTCAAATAATTCTACTATGTTATAATAAATGTCAATGTGAAAAACAATTATCTAGAATCAATCGATATATTTTTTTTTCAAAATGATTGTATTCTTGATATAATTATTTTGTTCAAAGTTTTCATATGAAAAATTCTTACTTGAATTCCTTTAATTAATGCAACAGCACCTTTACCATTTATTGAATTCCAACTGAGATCAAGAGATTCCATTGTTGTATTTTCAGCAATAGCTTGACCTTATTATAACAAAACGCTATTTCAATATGTATAAATTTATCATATCGATATACCTAAGAAAATACCACTTGTTGATCCTAGTTTATTTTTTGCCAAATTTAATGTATATAATTGTCCAGTACTCTATACGAAATCAAATAGAATAATATTCATTGATTGATTTTTTTTCTCTTTATATTCAAATCTTACTGAAATAAGTTCAGCTAATAGACGAGCACATTCATCATCTAATAAATTTCCTACATAAATAAAGATATTTATTCCAAATGAGTTTTTAAAAGAAACAAAAAGAATTATTTTTAACCTTCAAGTTTTAAATGATTAATTGTTACATTATCTTTAAACATATCACATAAATGTCGAGTACCATCAAGACCAATAAAATTTTGTGAAAGATTAATATCAACAATTGCAATATTATCACGAAGAATTTGTGATAAATAAATAATACCTTTATCACCAAGACCATTACTTGTTAAATCAAGTTTAGTTATATATGTGTTCATCTGAAATAAAATAATAAAACATATATAATATAAATATTATTATTATGAATTAAAACTTTATGTTTACATACTGTTAAACTTGGTAGAAATGCTCGCATACCTTTTGAACCTAAACCATAATAATGCATTAATAATTCTTTTTGATCATAATGTTTCAAATACTGTCCAACAGGTACAATTTGTTCATATTTACAAACATATTTATACATTCCAATACATGAACGATCACGATATTGATTAACATCATCATCTAAATCTGTATCATAATCTTCATCACTAGCAAATGAAAAATTAGTTGAAGTTGAACTTGATTGAAAATCACTATTATATGTATTTGTTGATTCTAGTCCACCTGTTTTTGGACGACGTTCATTTGTTTTTATATCATAATTTTTACGTCGTTCTAATCGCTTTATAAAAAATATAATATGTATGGATATTGAATAACTTTTAAATTTATTTAGAAATATATATATATATAGTTTTTTTTTTCAAAAAATACATACTCGATTTTGGTCGACTGTAAGTGGTCGTACAAGATGAATTGGATTTTTGAATATTTCAGTATTACGTCTATGCATCGTATTTTTATGATGAAATGAAATTGAAATAAAAAAAAAAGAAGAAAAAAAAAGAATAATATAATATATATACAACATGTACAATGACATTTGTATGGATTTACAAAAAATTTATATGTATATATGATTTTGTTTCGGAATTTGAAATCAAAGATGAAGAAAGGAATTTTTTTGTTTGATTAATGCAGCTTTTTCTTTTATAATAGATAGAATAATAATCATGTATTGTTTTGTTTTTATGTTTTTTTTAAATGTTTATGGTCGTTAATTATATGTTTTATAATGAAATCTTCAGTAACGTACATCTCGTTGCAGATAAAATCAAATTATTTAGATAGAATTCTTTTTTTTTCTATTGAATCCATTAGTGTTGGAATATAATCGTGAAAAACAAAATAAAACGTCAGAAATGTGGCGAAGAAAAAAATGGCGGGGGAGGAAGGTGCACGAAGATTTTTTGAAAGCTGTAAAGGTGCATATATAATTTTTTCTAAGTGCGACTGATACTAAACTCTCTTTTTCCACTTTACGATCGTTGTTCTTAATCAAAGAAAAAATATGAATTTGACTGAAAAAACTGAAAATTTTCTAAAAATGGAGGTGATCACTCCTTCCCCACCCACTATAGTTACATCTATGTAAAATGGGATCTCGAAACTTTGTTTTTGCAGACAAAAAATATTCAACATAGTCCTATGTTTGGTTGCTACAAAGTGAGTGTTTTAATAGGCTTTTTTTTTCAAAAATGTTTGCATCGCGTATTATTACATTCTTTCTATTCTGATCAATCAATATCCATTTGTTATATTGGATATACTACGTAATGACATTCTTTATAATAGGTAAAAATATTACATTCACTTCTTAATATCCAATTATAATTACATTTGGATCGTTTTTTTTTTGTAATATTAACTTTATAAGACTCATAAAATATGACCATGGATAAATTGCTCGCTTATAATAAGCTAAACAGCAAGAAACGTTACATTTGATCATTTAGTAGATATCGATTCTTTTTCTATAGATCAAATATTTAAAATGCTGGTAATGAATGAATAAAAGAACAAAGCAAGATATATCAAGGAGAATCAGATAATGATTTATTTTATCCGCTGATATCTTGGTTTGACGTTTGCTCATAAAACAAAGAACAGACACTTTTCATATATGTTTTAATAGTAGTTCTTAAAAAAAATTAATCAGATATGAAAATATAATTTCTTTACTTATTACTATTATACTTATTAAGTTTTTTTTTCTTGAATTTCATTGTAACAATATCAAATACGAGCAAACCACCTACGTAATGATAACTGATCGAATGTATCCTGTTATTCTTTTTTTGATAGAAAGAAAAAGATATGTCAAGCGTAATTCAGATGTACATTGTTACGGTTGAGAAAATTATCTTCCTTTATCATTTACTCTTCATACTTGATTATAAAAAGGTATTCTATGTCAAGGCAAAATAGTCATTTATTTCAATGGTTGATATTCAAATAAAAAAAACGGTCGTTACGATTATTTCTATCTTGAACAATAATTTACTGTATATGTGATTGTTTACTGTTTATATTATCTATAACAAAACTAATGGTAAAACAAATAAACGATAATCATGAATCTGCTCCAAAACCACCGTCATTACTTGTTGCTGCCCATTGTGCAACACTACGTCGTAAAGCAACACGTATTGATGTAAATGAACTATCATCTATACTCAATGATTGTGTACACGAAGCGTATTCACATAAATGCCCGTTAAAAACATATTTGAATTCTTTAAATGAAATAGTTACAACATTATCTTCAAATTTTCCATCAGCATTACTTGAAATAAGTTCACATTATTTTTTTACTCTCGTCCGTAACACAGTACAACTTCTTTTAAGTGAATTACATACATCAAATGAATTAAATAATCAAGAAATTTATATTTTACGTAATTGTACTGTATTTATTTATCAGATAGCTAAGAAAATAGATAATGTATCAAAAATAATACATTGGATTACTGAGGAAACATTTCTTGATACTTTAGCAAATTGTTTAATTCATATAAATAAAATTTCAAAAGCAATTGAAAATGAACATATAATTAAACAAATAACACGTTTATTAAATATAATGTGTCATATTCAACAACATTTACCCATAAATTTACATCAGAATTTATTTGCACGATTACTTCAACCGACTATTACTTGTTTAACATCAGAAAATTATTTTAAATTATTTAGCAATTTACAAGCAAAAGCAGGTTCACTTACAGAAAGCCAAAAATTGTTCCTTATTAAATGTCCGTATTTTCTTACTGGTTATAATGGTAAACTTGGTTTTTTCAATTGTTACATATATATTTGAATATTTGTGTTTCTATTTTTTAAGGACCCTGTGTTGAGAAAGCCATTGAACATGTGTTAGAAATAATGTTACCACGTTATGTATCAATACTTGATAAACATATGAAAACCATTAAAGAATGGCGAAGTTCAATGATGCGTGCTATTCATAATCTTATTATAACTATTGTTTATGCTGACGGCTATTTTTCATCCCATACTCATAATAAATCATTTCGATTACTTATTAATCATCTGCTATGTCTTCTTAGTGAAACGAGTTTAATTAAGAAAATACATCCAAGTGCAAACAATTTAGAAACCTTATTGATTGATGCAACACTGGTCGTTTTTAGTGTACTAGTTTATGAACCCAATGCATTGGATTATATTAAAAAACTTAAACCGATAGCAATTTTTCGACAACTAACAACAACATCTCATGAAACTATTGTTTTAAGTGCTTATATGATGCTTGTATATGTAGTGGATGAAAATGACATTGAAAGAGCAGTGGGCAACTTGTCAAATTTACTTTCGACAACTCTATATTTGTTAGGAAAAGAAATAGAAACTCGTCATCATCCAAATGTATATGAGAATTCTAATCGAGAAAATAACGATCGAAATATAATACATCTTCTTGAAACATTAAAAGGTAAATGAATAAGTGTCTAGAATAAGTTTTCTTGTTTCTAAAGTCTTTTTATTTCGATGTGTTTTTTTCTAATATTTATTTCAAGGTTTAGCACCATATGAGCAAATTCAACATGACATATTAAAATACAGAATAGTATCACATTTAATGTATTATTACGAAAAATTACATGGATTATCAAAAAAATTATTACTTGAATGTTTTTGGACACTATCATTTAATGAACAAATAGCTCAACAATTACGTGAACAATCACAATTTATTCTTTCATTAGATAATATACTACGGTTTGTTAGCGATGATAATCAACAAAATACGATACGCCCTTCAAGTAATTATTATAGTCGTCAAAATGGTACTGTTATAGCGTCAATCGAAGGAACAAACAATGGCATACGAGAAGTGGCTGATGGACTTCTTTGGAAACTTGTTAACGGTATAATTTAAAAATATAGCAGTTTAAAATTTTTTTATGTGTTCATTTTCATTAAATAGAACCTGAATTTCGAGAGAATATTATTGAGAAAATGAAAATGCGAGCGACAACAAAAATTGCAACTGATACTCAAAATTATAAATATGATATAATGATTTCATATTGTTGTGCTGACAAAGATATTGTTCATAAAATTCAGAACTTTCTCACTAATGAAGGTTATAATGTTTGGTTTGATAGTGCACATAATCACAGAAACGGTAAGGTGACTGTATATTATGTATTTTCTTTGTATGTTTTGACTAAGGATTCAATCACTTATCCGATTGACTCGTATACTTCTACAGTCCATAGTGAAAACTAAAAGATGATTCTGTTACGGATATGCTTTCAATATAGTACTTTGATAAAATACAGCTCGAATCATTTTTCTACTCTAGCTATGGAAGTCGTCGCAGATGCAATAGAAAATTCTCAATTTGTTATTCTATGTATGTCAGATTCGTATAAACGCAATAATAATTGTAAAGCTGAAGCGGAATATGCATTTAATTCCAAACGATTGATTCTTCCGTTGATTATACGTACTGGCTACAAACCTAAGGGATGGTTAGCGTCTATGATAAACAACAGTACCTATATTGATTTTGCAGGATCTGATTTCAAAACTGCATCCACATGGCTCTTAGAAAAAGTAAAACAACAACAATGTAAGAGAGAAATTCCAGTTCACAGATCAAAGGCATCGACACTGTTCAACATCGCACACAATTCATCTGTACCCTCGGCTGTTTCTAATAAGTCTCATGCACCTGTTGAGTCTTTGACTGTAACTGGTTCTACTAGTTGCGTACCAAATCATTTTTCATCTGTTCCCATCGATAAACAACAACAAATGTCACCATCTACAACCTTAGGAACAACAATAGCTGATGTTGACTCTTCCATAATGCCTGATTTGATTGAAAAACAACAGAAAAAATCGAAGCGTACTACTTTACCACCACCACCACCACCACCAATGGTTAGTTCGATCCCAACTATCAAATCTATTGGTATTGTTGAAACAGAGCAAGCTCAAACCCACACTGTTGTAGGGCTACCAACATCTAGCGTTACGCCTTCCACAACTTCTAATAATGATATGCAGCAACAACCAATACAGAAGCATTTTGTTTCACCATCAACAACATCTAGATCCATGGCCTCCACTACATCTGACGATAGCGGACAAAAACCACAAATATCAATGCTTTCACATTCAACTTCTTCGACACTTAACGCTGACACTTCTACTATGACTTCAGGTGTCAATAAACAATACAAGCAGCATAAAATAACAGACTATTCGATTTCACAACCACCAACATTTGATTCCATTCTTTCTATCGAATCTTTTATTGCTGAAAAACAACAAAAACAACACCAATACCGCCAACAACAACGAATGGCAGTGAACTCTGTTCTTCAATCAGCAACAGCTAGTTCTGTCTCCTCTAACCTTGCTGCCACTGTTGAGAAACAGCAACAGCGGAAACTTATTTATCCTGCATCAACACCGCTAACTACTACATCTATCACTTCTCAGATCACAGAGTCACAGCCAAAGCTAACAGCAACACCGTCTCCTTCACCATATTCCATATATGGCTATAGGTATTCTACTGCATCGAATGTTGTTGAAAAGCAACAATCATCGAAAAGATGCTATTCTGTTTCATCAGCACTAACCCCAGCATCAAGTTCCTCTGACATAACTGCAGATTTTGACGACAAGCGGCACCAAAAAACTACTTCTCCTGTTTTAATGCGCTCAACATCTTCTACTGTTTTTTTTGACGCATCTTGTAATGTTGAGATAAAGCAACAGCAAGCGCCAGTACCTCCCAAACCACGAACTTCAACGATTAATGCCCAGTCCTCTATCGCATGTTCTACTTCTATTCAGCAACAACAGCAAACAAAGAAAACTATCACAGAATCATTCAAAAATGACACTGCTCCTCCTGTTAGGTTCATCACCATCGATAATGAGCAACAACAGCCAATAGAAATAATTCCTATTTCTCAATCTGCAACATCTAGTTCCATACCTTCTGACGAATCTATCAGTGTCCACAAACAGCCACAACAACAAACGCTAGGATATTTTATTTCATGTCCGCCAATTACGACCAACACTGTACTTCCTACTACATCTACAATTATTTCTCAACCGCAGCAGCTACCAGCAACTCATCTTGTTCCACAGTCTCTAACAAATAACAATACTTCTTCTGCTTCAACATCTACCGTTGATAAACTAAAACAGAAGACACAACTTCGTCCTATTTCACAATCCCAAATATATGATTCGATCTATTATGATACATCTGTTTTCATTGATCAACAACCACAGCTAACGCAAATGTATTCTGCTTCACAACCACTAACAAATAACACTGTTTATTCGGATTCACCGATTATCATCGACAAACTAAAGCAAAAAACACAAATACGTCCGGTCTCACAATTGCAAACATCTGACTCCGTACCATCTGATACATCTGTTCGCCTTGATCAACATCCGCAGAAAACACCAATGCAGCCTATTTCACAATCGATAGCAAATAATACTGTTTCTTCAGCTTCACCTATTGTCATCGATAAACTACAACAGAACGCTCAACTTCGCCGTGTTGCACAATCACAAATAACTAGCACGTTCCCTTCTGTCCCATCTGATATCCTTGATCAACAACCACAGTTAACAGCCGTGCATAATGTTTCACAACAGTTAAAAAATAACAAATTTTCTCCTCCTCCACCTGTTATCATCAACAAACAGCAGCACAAAACACAAGCTCGTCCTGTTGCACAATCACAGGCACCTAGCTCTGCCTCGTCTGCTACATCTGTTTGCCTCGATCAACAACCAAAAGTAATACCAATGCATTTTGTCTCACAACCGTCAACAAATGGTACTGTTTCCTCTGCTCTAACTACCATCACCGATAAACAACAACAGAAAAAACAGGTACATCCCATTTCTCAATCACAAGCATGTGACTCTGTCTATTCTGGTACATCTGTCCATCTTGATGAAGAATCGCAGTGGACATCAATGCATCTTGTCCCAGAACTGTTAGCAAATGACACTGTTGCTTTTGCTGCAGTAAACACTATGGGGAAACAACAACAGAAAACACAAGTTCGTCCTGTTTCACAATCACAAATATCTGGCTGCACGCCGTCCGCTACACATATTCGTTTTAATCAACAACCACATCTAACACAAATGCATTGTATTTCGAAACAGTTAAGCAATAACACCGTTTATTCTGATTCAGCTGTTATTATCGATGAACTACAAGAAGAAACACAAATTCATCCTGTTTCACAATCACAAACATATGAGTCGGCCTATTCTAATACATCTGTCCGCCTTGACCAAGAAGCACAATGGACATCAATGCATATTGTTCCGGAACTGTTAACAAATGATATCGTTGCTTCTGCTTCAGTAAATACTATCGAAAAACAACGACAGAAAAAACAAGTACAATCTGTTCGAGAGTCACAAACATATGACTCTGGCTACTCTGATACATCTATTCACCTTCATCAAGAAGCGCAATGGGCATCAATGCATCTTGTTCCAGAACTATTAGCGAATGACACTGTTGTTTCTGCTTCAATTAACACTATCGGAAAACAACAACAACAACAACAACAACAGAAAACACAAATTCATACTATTCCACAATCACAAACATATGACTCTGGCTACTCTGACACATCTACCAACCTTGATCAAGAAGCGCAGTGGGCATCAATGCATCTCGTTCCAGAACTGATAGCGAATGACACTGTTGTTTCTGCTTCAGTAAACACTATCGGAAAACAACAACAAAAAAAAACACAAGCTCCTCCTGTTCCACAATCACAAACATCTAGCTTATTTCCTTCTGCTAGTTGTGTTCGCCTTGATCAACAACCACAACTAACACAAATGTATTCTGCTCCACAAATGCTAACAAATAACACCGTTTATTCTGATTCAGCTGTTATTATTAATGAACTACAAGAGAAAACACAAATTCATCCTGTTTCACAATCACAAATGTATGGCTCTGCTTATTCTGGTACATCTGCTTCCCTTGATCGACAATCACAGCTAACACAAATGCATACTGTCTCACAACAGCTAAGAAATAACACTGTTTCTTCTGATTCGCCTGTTATCATCGATGAATTACAAAAGGATGCACAAATTCATCCTGTTTCGCAATCACCAACATATGACTCGGTCTATTGTGATACATCGGTTGACCTTAATCAAGAAGCACAGTTGACACCAATGTATTTTGTTTCAGAACAGTCAACAAATAATACTGTTTCTTCTGCTCCAATTGACACAGTCGGTAAACAACAACAGAAAACACAAGTTCGACCTGTTTCACAATCGCATGCTACATATGTCCATCCTGATCAACAAGCGCAACGAACACCAATGCATTTTGTTTCACCACCGTCAACAAATAACACTGCTTCTTCTGCTTTATCTAATGCCATCGATAAACAAGAGAAAATAGAAGTATGCTCAGTTGCAAAATCAGAAACATCTGGCTCCGACCATTCTGCTCTCTTTAATCAACAACTGCAGTCAACAGCAATGCTTCTTGTTTCAGAGCCCTCAACACATGTTACTGTTTGTTGTGCTTTACCTGTCGCAACCGATAAACGGCAACAGCAGCGAACACAAGTGCCTCTTGTTTCCCAATGTTCAGTTGCTCGTTCTGCATCTTCTAATGAATGTATTAATGCCAAGACACAGCCACAGCGAGAAGTATTCGTGTATTCTAGTTCACGACCACAAACGACGACCGATACAGTACTTCATAACACATCTACTGTCGACAAGCAACCGCAACAGGTAACATCGAAGCATAATGTTTCACAATCATCGGCAAATCCCACAACTACTTCTGTCTCACATGTGACTGTCAAAAAACAACAACAGGAGAGTCCAATGCGTAGTACTTCTCGATCGCAAGTACCTACGTCTAGCTCCTCTGCACTACGTGTTGACCGAGACAAACAAGAAGGAATGGCATCAGTTTCAAACTCAAAAACACACCTACACTCGTTTGAGGAACCACCTCGCTTACCCACAGAATATACAAATCGTAAAACGATGAATTCGACATACCGTACTGTCCCGATTAATTTATGGAAAAGTGGTGATGTGCTTGATTTCCTATTCGATTTACGTCTCTATGACATGATGCCCTTATGTGAATCGATGTCAGGTAAAGCTCTGATTCGACTTTTTCGAATGTGTCAAGAAAAGCCTAAGCGCCTTTACAATCAACTAAATGAAGAATTACGTATTCGATTCAAAGGCTTAACTTTACCAATGGGAGTTTATGCAGAATTTCTAATAGAAATGGATGATTTAGTTGGTCTTGTGCCTGCTACAGTTTCTGAAATACCTTGTCCAAAGACAAAGGATGAGGAGCATCCCACATTCAGACCTCTTACTGTACAAGAGGAACCAATATCAATGCAACGAAGTTCCAGACCCATAATAGATATGACAGTCTCACGAAGTCTGTCGCATTCTGGCATCCCGGTTGGAAAATTACCAGGAAGAACAGCTTCTAATAATATACGTTTACTTGAACGATCATTTGTGCAACCACCATCAGCTCCTGGAAGACCGTATATGTTAATTCTTGAATCAATTGAAGAATCAACTGTACTTCTTCAATAAGTACAACTTATGGACTTTAATTGATGGCACTCAATGAAATGCATCGTCAGTATCATGAAAACAACAGTTTCCATCATAAACAGATATACGACTGTCTTTTTTTTCTACACATTCAAATTATTGGAAAACTTTTTTTTTTAGTTATATAGTAAAAAGAAAATAATTTAGCGCAGCATAGAGCTTCATTCTTCTATGACTTTTATTGTTTTATGCTGCAATAAGTGATCTTAAGGATCTCCCATGCGTGAAGCTTTAGACAACTATCTTAGATTCATAGAGAAAAACCATAACCAATGATTTTGAATTTATTATAAAAAACAAGCGAGTTTTTTTAAAGATAAACTACCATACAGTAATTAAAAATCAAAATAAGAGCATCAAGTTTACTTTGCCTTAAAAAGTGTTTAAGTTGATGTTTTGTAGCTAATGAACCTTCTTATTGATGCCCAATTAGAAATAATTTATATATATAAATATTTTTTGTGATTATTACTCTTAAAGAAGGGGGAAAAGTAAACTTTTTCCGTTGCTATGGTATCAGAAGAATTTCTAACTTGATCTGTTTCAATAGCATATTCAAGAAAGCCCAATGTATATGCTAATTTTAACTAGTTAATTTTTTCGTGAAGATTGACTTGTTATTTGCCTCAATTCATCATTACTAGTTAGATCATATGTAGCAAACTCATTTGTGACACCAGTATTTATTGTTCATGATTGAATTGATGAAACTCTATCAAAATGAAGAAGTTATTCAAGTTCATTGGATGGTATAAATCTTCCAGTACATGTTACCCATTCTTGTTAATGTATATGATTTTCTTAAATATTATTCATGTCATTTTTTTCTTAGCAAAAACGTTCATCCTTTAGTTGATCCTCATTATCACATAAATGGTATTGATCGTGCTTGAATTTCATTCTAAACTTATTCAAGTTAAAAAACAAAAATCATGAGTTTTGTGGATTTGTTTATTGAATCAATTACATACACTTCTACCTTTGGAGTAAACATAGTTTAATAGTTTTCTTATCATTGGAGCAGTAATAGGTTCAGAATTATTAAGATATCAATGTATAGCAGTTAATTTCTTTTAGTTATCAGCTTTATCAAATCAGTACATCACAGTAGTGAAATATCCAAATTGAATAGTATAACACTCTGTTGCAGAGCACGGAAAATGTTCTAAAAACTATGTATTGAAAATACAAAAGATTTTTGGAGACTTCTATTCTCCTATTAACCCTTTCACGGCGATTTGATTCTGCAGTGTTTTCGAAAATGTTTTTCGAGAGATTATAGCTCAAACCAACGAAAAATGAAAGTGAATTTTATATGAAATAAAAGCCCGTCGAAAACGTGATTTAGGAGTATAACCAATAATTCATAGGATGATAACAGGCTGCAGAATCATGAAAAGTTTCAAAATTTCAGGAGTATAATTGGGCACCTCCACGGATGGTCACCAATAAAAACTAAATATCCTCACAAAATTTGTTTCGTCTATCAGACTATGTGGAACTACCTGTGCTGATCACTTTGGTAAAAAAAAATTAATTTCACAAATAAACGATGGTGCTAGGGCAAAAATACGGCAAAATGTTATAGCTCTAACGACAGATCTACTTGAGATTTTCCAGTATTTTGAACCTAGCACCGTCATTTGTTAGCCAAATTTTAAATTTTTTTTAACCGAAATGATCAGCAGAGATAGTTCCATAAAATCTGTCTGATGAAGAAATTTTCTGAGAATGTTTTGTTTTTATGACCACCTAACCAATGTACATTATGATGTGAGCCACCGGTGACTCACATCGCCGCCAAAGAGTTAATCCAATTAAGAGATGGTATCGGAATGACCAAAAATGAAATGACAATGTCAGCGTAATACATAAAATATCTGACGTCATATATTATAATATTTACTACTAACAAGAGGACCAATCGTCCAAAATGTATTTCATCACTTTTGAGCTTATATTGTAGGTATATTGAGAAGACTTCTAGACTAGAATAAGCACAAAAGGATTCAGCCCCTTCGATCCTCTCTATAGACATACAACAATTTTGGTGGATTCTTACCATAGGATAGTGTATTAGAAAGAAAATAGTAGCAAGTTCTTTTCTACCTGAAGTTTCATCTATAAGTAGATCATATGATGCTAAGCCTCTTCTAAATATTTCAGGCTATGGACACGAAAGCTTTTAAGATTATTTTAATCTGCATATTTTTTCTATGTCAGCAAAAAATAAGCTCAAAAGTTATGAACCATTTCGAAAGATTCTATTGTAGAGTAATAAATACATTATTCCAATAATTTCAATCAAAAAGTCAATCAATATATACAGAAATTGAATGCAAGAATTCGATCTAATTACTTGTGTCTTATTTACTGTGATAGATGGTAACGAAATGAAGTTTTAATTTTCTGTTTAAACTCGAGTTTCTAATCAAAATATTATTTGACACGTCATTCGGTAATGCATTATTATTTAGATATAATTTTGATTTATGATTAGGACGATTAATCTGTCTAAATCGACTTCTTAAGCATTCTACTTCAATAATTAATACAACGGATTGTCTCTTAATGCCTTATCAAACAATCGACACGATTTCTTTTATGCACTTTTTTCGGCCATTATCACTGCTGTAATATAATCAATGTACAGTACGAGACTCTATTAAAATTTAGTTTTATAAATAAAATCTAAAAAAATAAGATTCATTCTAAAAATTATTTTAAATAAAATATAATTTTTGATAAATAACTCAAATAGATGGAGACACAGTCTGTATAATGAACACGTCACTACATTTAATCTCCATCTGATGCCTGTTTGCCGTTCTACTGTTGTCCACGTTTTCAAACTAAGGAACGAATGAAAATCTAGAGAAAGCAAAGCAAAATCTGTAGCCACTTGTTTTTTACTTTCCATTAAACGCTTATAACAAAGATCTATGAGACGTTTATTTATACATAACAAAAACGAAGAAGAATATTTTCGTTTTTTATATATGCTTTATTCTTTTTTCTTTAAGATATGGATGCATTAACATCTGTTCTCCCATTCAAACAACTTTTACCGCATAAATTATCTTATGATAAACAGGAAACATTTTTAAAGTTATTTATCTTAACTTTTGCTGGTATATTAGCATTTGCTACACGTTTATTTTCTGTTTTACGTTATGAATCAGTTATTCACGAATTTGATCCATATTTTAATTATCGTACAACAAAATTCTTAGCTGATGAAGGCTTTTATTCATTTCATAATTGGTTTGATGATCGAGCATGGTATCCATTAGGACGTATTATTGGTGGTACTATTTATCCTGGTTTAATGGTTACATCCGCTGCTATTTATCATACATTACGTTGGTTTCATATTACGATTGATATTCGTAATGTATGCGTTTTTTTAGCACCATTATTTTCAAGTTTTACTGTTATTGTAACGTATTTATTGACAAAAGAACTTAAGGTAAACAAAAGACATTGTTTAAATTTAACTCTTTTTAAAAAATTTGTTTTTTTTCTCTTTAATATTAAGAATGCAAGTGCTGGTCTTGTTGCTGCATGTCTTATATCGATTGTACCCGGTTATATATCACGTTCAGTTGCTGGTTCATATGATAATGAAGGCATTGCAATATTTTGTATGTTATTAACATATTATTTCTGGATTAAAGCAATTAAAACTGGTTCAATTATGTGGTCAGCATCATGTGCATTAGCCTATTTTTATATGGTTTCATCATGGGGTGGTTATGTCTTTTTAATCAATTTAATACCATTACATGTTCTAGCATTGATGTTTACGGGACATTTTTCACATAGAATTTATGTGGCATATTCAACTGTAAATATATTTTTATTTCTATGAATATTTGAGATTGAAATTAACTATTTGTTTGTTTTATCTTTTAAGGTTTATATTTTGGGAACAATTTTATCAATGCAAATACCATTTGTTGGTTTTCAACCGGTACAATCAAGTGAACATATGCTTGTAAGATTTCAGTTAAATGATGATTTTGTTTTTGTTTTCTTCTAATAGATGTCTTTATTTAGGCATTTGGTACATTTGGTTTATGTCAATTATTTTCATTTATTGAATATGTGAAATCAAAATTGACACAAGCACAATTTGATGCATTATTTTCATTTGCACTTGTTACTGTTGGTTTTGGTATTGGTATTGCTGGATTAGTTTTATGGGCTAGTGGAAGTAAGAAAATAATCAATATTGACATGTTTAGATTGATTATTTTACATTTCAATTTTCAGAAAATATTTTAGAATTCTTAATATGATAAATTCTATATTATAATTGAATATTTATTTATTTATTTATTTATTTTTTCTTTTTAGAAATTGCACCATGGACTGGTCGATTTTATGCTTTATTAGATCCATCATATGCAAAAAATCATATACCTATTATAGCTAGTGTTAGTGAACATCAACCGACAGCTTGGTCAAGTTTCTTTTTTGATTTTGAATTACTTGTCTTTATGTTTCCAGGTATACATGAAATAAATTATTATTTTCTTTTTGTTTTACTAAATTTAAAAAAATTTTTATTTTTATTCATTTTTAGTTGGTATTTATTATTGTTTTAAAGAATTAACTGATGCAAATATCTTTATTATTATGTATGGCATGACAGCAATCTATTTTGCCGTAAGATATTTTCAAAACAAACTTTTTTCTTTCTAAATAATATATATATATATTGATTTAGGGTGTTATGGTTCGTTTAATGTTAGTTCTTGCACCTGTTATGTGTGTTTTATCCGGTATTGGTATATCAAGTATTTTAACAACTTATATGCGTAATTTGGATATCAATCAATTGAAAAAAACGACTGGTAGTACTACAGGTCAAAGTTCAACACGATCACGTCGTGGTGATGATTCATCAACATATCCACGAAAAAGTGAAATTGCATTTGGTGTTGTTTGTCTGATGTCATTTTTCTTAATTACAT